TCAGTGGAAGCCCCATATAGACCGGATCCTACCCCGCTATGGCGCAGTGATGCAAACATTCGTATCATTCATGGTAAAAAATTTACAATAATCCAATACAATTAGAGCCAAAGTATCTAATAACGTCAAATACGTTAAAATTTTTCTTTGCCTAATGACATAGAATTTACGATAATTTTACATCGAACGTTTAGGTTTTTGAAATTTCATTATACCGAACTGCCACAAAACGGTACATAGACACATATAAAGTATTATGAGAAATAGAAATAACTTTTTTATTTAATAGATCATATATAATACTTATTGAAAGTCACTCCTATTTATAATTTACCACTCACTCGTAAAACACCTTTGACATTTGAAGAACGAGAAAACAACCAAGCAGGACTTTAAAAAAAACAGTTTACAATCATATATATACATTAATCAACACAAAATAAATGATAGATAACTTGGTAGCGATCACTCATTCTTACTGATTATTATCATCTATAAATTCCTTAACCTGTAAGCTCTGACAGGTGTTATACTCCCGTTCGCTCGGGACCGTAATGGCGGAAAAATTTGAAAATTAGCAAATTTTTTGCTATATTGCAAATTTTGCTATATTTTCACTTTGAGACAATATTTATGGATAAAACTTACAGGAATTCTTGTTGAATGTATAAGCTATCGAATAAAATTATTTTTGGTTGCTAGAAATTGTAATAAAATACGTAAATTACCCTGTATAGCATAGTAGTGGTATATACTTCAATTTTAGTGACAAAATTACTACTAATTTGAATTCTACACTTTTGTTTTTAGAGAAATTTATATGAAAATGTTTGGAAATATGTATATTTTTATGTTTTATGTGTTTCCATTCGTTACTCATACCAAAATATTAAAATATTTAAAAATTTAAAAAAAAAATAATAATATTTTATCTGTGTGACATTTAGAACAATATTTCTAAAATAGTTTTGTGTGAATTTGAAATAAATACAACGTGAAGTTATTTGAAATATGTAAGAAAACTATTTTTACTTACATTTTACACTAAAAATAAATGAGAATTTGATAAATAACACATTTATGACCCAGCCGCCATAATGGGCCTTCCAGATTTTGAAGCACTTTTGGCAATTTACTTTTCTCTTTTTATACCACAAATTAAATATATATATGTTCACTATATTACAAGGAATATAAAAAATTATAATACTTTCGTTTTTAGTCCAGACACAAATATAAAATTCTATAAAAAAGACGGAGCAACTTCATCAAAACGACACGTGGAACGCCGAAAGTTCAGAGTGATTTCTTCTTTTTTTTTCTAAGAAACATTGCCAGGTTATGGTTTAAAATAAAAGAGCATATCTTTGTCTTTGATACTATTATCTATTGCATAGTGTCTTTGGTTTTGTTTAAAACGGAAAAATAGTTTTTTAATTTACACGTTTACATAATTCTGATCAAATTAGCTCACTACTTGGCGGACGTAAGGTAGGTATTGTAGGTATTGTACGATCAAAAGTGCGCATGGCTTGGCTTATCATAATATTCTTGTTATACAAACTTTGTTTATAGTATATTTCGATGAAACTTGATGAAATGCAAAATTCTTTGAACACGCATTTACATTTTGTTTGAGTAATGATTCGACAACGGCAGGAGAATTAATCCAGTGACCTAGTGGTTAAGATCCTAATATCAGTAAAATATTTCTCAAAAACCATTGCATCGTACTGATTTGATTTAGTTATTTTTTTTGGTAAAGCTTAATAAGATACATACCATGACATTTTAATTTTATTAGAATCATCACACTCTTTTAAACATTTTCGATTAATTTTTTACATATACTCTTAATTCGACGTTAGGATTGTATGACATTTTATACAAGTATAACTTTTGTCTGCTCTTATGGATTCCTACTGTCACCTTTATAATGAATGCCTTGCGATTGTTCAAGTAGAATAATTTAGAAGTAAAATATTATAAAATTCACTGCAAATAAGCTTAAATAGTATTTCATACGAAAAATCAGGATTATTTTGTTATAAAAGTAATGGAAGTTTTTTTGCACTTTATGACTTCTAAGCTTTTCCAAGTGACGTGCACTTTCTGGAACAAACACAACTTTCTCATCAAGGTACTTACATTTTGTGTACATATGTTACATAATAAATATTTTTGAATTACACATGTATGCAACTGACTGTCGGTATATTGAATTGCTGAAATGTTTGTACAGTAGGGCTTTGATGATTATCCAACTACAGAACCTATGCAACTGCAGAGAGATGTAAAACTGGATGATGTTATATCCCCGAAACTCTGCACCGCTTCATTAGAAGACGTTTTTAAGCTACACTGCAAAGGATACGGTATTTATTACGGTATTTGCCGACGATATAGTCCTAATGTCAATATCGCTGGAGAACCTAAGCATTATGCTATATGATGTCAATAGTTTCTCCCAACGGATAGGTCTTAAGATGAAAATGGACAAAACAGATACTATATGTAACTTTCATGTCACACCTATGCCGATATTCGTAAGGATCACTAAGCTCGAAGTAATTAACGATTATGTTCTGCTCCATCACGCTGGAGCCCGGTTTAGGAAAAACTTGATTTTTTGTTAATTTTAAACTACAAACGATGCTAGATGTAGTAAATTTACATTTTACCATTAATTCTGAGTTATTTTTTTTTTTTTTTATTTTAGAAAGAGTGTTTTGAGTTTTGAGTCTTCCTTATATTTTATTTTCATTTTATTCTTTTGTTTTTATATTAACATTTTGTGATCATATTTTTTATTTTGTTATTTTCAAATAAATCCTCTTGAATCAAATTTTTATTTATTTGAGTTTTATATTTTAGTATTTTAATAGTTTAGTAAAAAGTGAACGTGGTAGGATGAAGTGAGAAAAGGATTGGGTGTCCTGTGGTAGACATGTGAAGGAATGTAGTGGACATGATGTGATGATGATGAAATATTTTCGACTACAGGCACATTTTCATACTCACGAAGGAGAATCTGACCGCACTGGTTGATACCCATTCGCTTCGCTGGGCGCACGATAATATTTTATTGCGAAGCCTAGTTTTTTATGTGATTAATATAAAAACCGTTTTTAGTGAGAGTGTGGGTTGTGAAATAAGAAACTATACTAAAAGAGATGTATGAAATTGCGTGTTCGACATCGTTCGTAACAGTAATACAAAAATAGTTTGGGAAATTTAAAAGGGCACGCCTCATGAGCGTTTCATTTCATTTTGATGAAAAATTGTATTCTTGACTTAAATATATTATTAACGTGTTTTAAATTTAGCGCTCTATTATAACAGGTTGGGTCTCCCACAGGGAAAAATTATATCGTTTACCAAAATATTTTTTTGAAAAAGTATAAAAACAATGTGGACTATATACACATTATTTTTATACTTTGTGAAAACTATATATTGGTGGTATATTTGTCTTTTGTATATTAAAAGTTAAAGAAAAAAAGTTAAGCGCCTGTAAATTTTTAACAGCAATAGAACTTATTGAGCCTGATAATCATTTCAATAACAAAAGACGCCTACTAGGCTATTGATATGAAATAGGAAACCAGTTGAAATGATTCTGAAACTAATAAAAAAGACCCGGTCTCGATACGTCCATTTTTTCGGGACCACATACAAAATCAACATCCGGGCGTCCAAGTAAAGTTTTTTCGAATCGTTTTTTATCAAAGTAGCAATATAAAATGATTTTTATAAACTATAAAATAAATTAATTAGTGTGTATTCTTGATATACGGCTATTCATATTATCGTTTAGGTGCAATATGGTTATGGTGATAGAAGAATTTTAGAACGACAAAACTGCTTGACTTTGAAGTGTCGAGAGTAATGCACTACCTCAAACGCGTCGCGTTATGAGGCGTTCAATATGTAGATAATAAAACGATAAATTATAAGCATAATTAATAAAAATCTCTATTATATTGCACAATTAACGTGCGTTACGAGAACATCTGTTAACTCGGTAAACAAAACAGAAGTGCTACATTAAGGGAAAGGCATTAGGGGAAGAGCGGCGCCAACGTTATTGTTCTATTATGAGTACGACGAAGTGAACACAGCAACGTAGTTACTCGTGTGCTGCTTTAGTATAAACGATTAGTAATTTGCACTTAATTTGAAAAACCTTTGAAAAGCATGTAAGAAATAACTTTTAAATTTAAAATATGTATGTTTGTATATTAAAAATCATATTTATGTAACTATATTGCTCAATCAGTTTATATTATACTAATAAAAAATATTTATAAAGAAGATGACCAAAAATTGTATGAACCTGTGCCCCAGACTATACATGAGATAAAATATATGTCACTTAAAAGAACAGATCTTCTATATAAAGAATTAGAAAAGTGCATGTAGCTACGCAGTAGTTGACAAAAGTTATGAAGATTCAAAAAAAGTTGATTTTGTCAGTCGGTTTTTTCATAATCACACAATGTAGATATTAATAAAGTTCCAATTCCATAATTGTAATATAGGTTAATGTGTATGCATTTATCCCAGATGTTTAGGATGTATCCTAACTGATTTAGCAAAAAAAAAAACAGGGACAGCAGTTTTTTCATTCTTTGAAATTATTTTTATCGTTTCTAACTATTTTTGTAACATAATTATATTAAACTCTTATTAACCAAAGTATATAAAACCGAAAATAAAATAACTTGCATTATGTTGTGCATTTAAACATTTAATATTGTTAGTAAATTATCAAGAAGTGCAGCTTCTTGATATCTCGCCCATCCCAAGTACCACAGAATAGTCATTATAATATGTGCATAACATCCAACAGTCCGTTTTCAGATATACAATTACACCAATAACCTAAGATTGCATCTCTCGGTTGGTTTTGGTTTGAAGGTTGCTCATCATATAAAATATAAGTATAATACTCACGCCTAGAAGTATGTGTCGATTTAATGCGACCTCTTAATAGGATCTCAATTGTGCATTACAAGTTCCTCAGAAAACTCTAACTCTGGACTTATTTCAGCTAAATAAACACCTCGATCTCTGATCGCCATCGTATTCGCCATAATATTATCAGCAAGCCTGTTGCACCTGGTAAGGTCTTTAAAGAAATCACTTGTATCTAAATGAGGAAAAGTATTAAGTTCTGGCAAGTTTGTACCAATACTTCTAAATAACATTCTTCGTCTATTTAAATTAAACTCTTGTTTAAACTGACCTAAATAATTAGGCATATTCAATCTTGCCGTTGCTATTTGAGCAATTTTATCTGCATTTTCGGGATTTTCTATCACTGTGTAAAACTTATTTATAAGCACAGCATCAATCTTAGAATCTTCCATCAAATGTACAGAAACTATGTTGAAAAATGTGTTTCTATGCAGTTTAAAATCACGCTTAAAACTGCCGTTAACTACTTCCACGATCCATGTACAAAGTGTAACAAATCTACTTTTATTGGCTTGTAGAGTGGATGGGTTGACTGGTAGAGAATTCCACAAAGTATTTAGTCCACCTTTTGTATTATTTTGTTTTAAGGCTGCAAAAAATAATACAAAATAAATAAATAACTGTGTTTCTCCTTCGTCTCTGGTTTCAGATTTAAGTACTGTGCAATCAAGAACTTCTAAATTGGAAATAGAATTTCTAAAGCCACGATCTAAAATAAATACATCATTTTGATGAAAGAATTGAAACAAGCTTTCATCGCTAGAAACTAAATAATTAATTATTTTTGCATCTCTTTGAGTTGCAGCAAAGGGTCCAAACACATCTATAATATATCCATCGCAACAGACTACTAAAAATGGTTTTGTTAAATTACGATATTTATGAAGACAGTTTGCCTTTTTTTGGTATTTATAATGCGAACTCTCTTGCACATGGAGGTACCATCACATTGTACAATAGCCCACCTGTTAGATGAATCAGGCTGAGAATTTCCATATATTTTCCCATGTAAAATGGTGTGTTTTTCTACCAATTCCTAGTGAAATATATGGGACACTCCAAGGTGTAGCGAAACAAAGTGATTAGTCAAACAGCTACTCACAAGCTTCATCTTGTTCTGTAGAGTTGATTTGGAAATCCTAAAATACTAAATATCATAGTATCGCTATCACGACTCCTATATTTGATTAAAAACATTGCTAATGCGGTTTTTGAATTTTTGGGGACAACAGACTGTATTGGTATTATGCAATTCTATGAATTCCTGTGTAGTGCGCCCTGTCCAATAGTGATATACTTACATAACTAGGCATTGCTTCTTTGTTTTCAGAAACAATAAAATTTTCCTCACTTTTATTATTTTTAAAAAAAAAAACGTTACCCCTACACTAAGATTTTCTCTTGTATCGTGAGGGCAGTTTACAAACATAAATTGCACAAGGACAAATATCTAGACCCGGAACAACTATATGTAGGCCATACAAATACTTGTTCCGTGCAGGATTCGAACCCGCGACTCCCAGCGCAGCCACTCATTGTTAAGCCACTGCGCCACGGAGTCGTCAAAGATCAGAGTAGGGCAAAAAATAAAAGCTAAATTCATAAACGTATTTATGATATGTTATGTATAAAAACAAGCCATACATTAATGAATTGATACATCAAAATAATCAAAATACACTGACGGATAGGATTTTATTTATTTGTTTGATACAGCAACAGCTTAAATATGTAGCGTTACATTAAAGGATAGGATTATTTTACTTTAGTACTTGCAACACTGAATCTGTCTGTCAAGTATCAAAACAGTCAAAGTGTCAATGTGTAACTTGTTGTACGTTTACCAACTTACACTATAGACCAAGAGGTAATCTACGGACCAAGAATTACGCACCGTTTCTGGTTATCTGTTTGCTTTTTCTTCGTATTTGTGTTTTATCGTATTTTACTTTTATTTAATATGTGTCGTAGCCTCACGCGATTTTTCCCCTAATTATAAACGGTATTGCTGTTAGACAGCACATCAGGTGGCATGTAATATCATCATTAGCTCCTGATATGACTACTATTTTATCGGAGTGGTTAACTTTTGCGGTAAGCTCTAATTTCGCTAAATAAAATATTTATTAGAGTCTAGTTTCGCTAAATAAAATATTTATTAGAGTATTGCGTACTTACCTACAACATTTACGAGAAGAATCAGATTGAGATATTATTTATTTATCCTATAATCGTAATTTGACGACTAAGAATCTTAGATTAATTAGTACTTATTTTTCCTTCAGAGATGTAACCTCATAGCTGCGTCCGCGATGCCGGCTATGAGAAGATAACAAGATGCCTTGTAACAACTTCAGGGGAAGACAACTTGGTCATAATATTTTTTGCTATGGATGTGGTAGATCTGTTGCACGTGCAAGAAAATACAGCATTCCAGAATTTAGTTCTCTCGCCTCAGTTGTATCATCATGGAATCACCATGTGAGTAATTATTATAGTATCAGTGTGACTCATATGTGTTATAAGCGTATTTATTTCAAATTCATAAACGTATTTATGATATGTTATGTGTAAAAACAAGCCATACATTAATGAGTTGATACATCAAAATAATCAAAATACACTGACAGATAGGATTTTATTTATTTGTTTGATACAGCAACAGCTTAAACATGTAGCGTTACATTAAAGGATAGGATTATTTTACTTTAGTACTTGCAACACTGAATCCGTCTATCAAGTATTAAAACAGTCAAAGTGTCAATGTGAAACTTGTCGTACGTTTACCAACTTACACTATAGACCAAGAGGTAATCTACGGACCAAAAATTACGCACCGTTTCTGGGTATCTGTTTGCTTTTTCTTCGTCGTAGCCTCACGCGATTGCTATACTAGTTATAAACGGTATTGCTGTTAGACAGCCTGTAATATCGGCGAAAGCACCCGAAACGTCGGGTATTAAAAATAAAATAAATATATGCGATAAAATCCGCAAAAGTTGTTTTAATCAAACGGAAAATAATTTTTAGTTAATTTTAGGGGTTGTTCCGTATCATATCTATACATAATATTATAATAAAAAAAGACGTGTGGCACTCGGGGACTGCCGCGGTAAAGCTATTGCATAGCATTTTTTATCAACTTATGCAATTATAGTTAATTATTTATTTTATTTATGCAGTTAAGTCTTTGATATTAAATCAAGTTACACTTTTTGAGCGTGGTGACCGATAAGAAAACAAATCTGAACCAGAATCATAAAAACTGTATAAATCGGGCTAAACGAATCTAATAAACATCTGTTATTTTTGTCTCCTGCGAAAAAAACAGACTATAGGAATCTATCGAATACCTACATAAACAAAATATCACCTATAAATAAAATATTACGAAGCGGAATAACTAATAAGAGTGGCAACGTCGCACTATACAAAGGAATTGCGTTAAGACGACACCTCGAAAGGGCTATCGCCGGACTGATCCGAGTGAATGCATAATTTCTATAAAAACTTGAAAAAAACGCCCTCATAAGGTCTAAAATAGCGTAGCGCCCGCGACGATTAAAAGCGCTTAGAAATTCTCAGAAACTTTAAAATATTTTTTGTAAAAATTATTGATTTGAGTAATCAAAATAATGAGCAAGTAAATTATGAATATTAATGTTATGAATATATTTGAGTGATTTCGAAGCATATAGATTAAGTAATTTCGTTGTAATTTCAACTATAGTGGTTTTTGACGTGACAACGTCTTATAAATTGGTTTGCCGGGTGACACTTCAAGAACACATAGTGAGCCAAATCGATTCACCAACTTACAGATTGGCTCAACACTTAGCGAAAATACTCTCACCGCTCAGGGGACATACAAGAGCACACATAAAAGATTCCTACCATTTTGTCAGCGAGATTAAAGACCTACGTCTGGCAGACAATGAAACTATGGTCAGTTTTCATGTGCAGTCATTGTTTACATGCTTACCTGTTGAAGACTGCATCTCAATTTTAACTAGAAGGATGGAAGAAAACAACATGCCCGTAGAATATGCAGTATTACTCAGACACTGCCTTACATCTGGCTACCTATTGTGGAAGGAGGAGTTCTACAAGCAAGTAGATGGTGTGGCGATGGGCTCACCTGTATCTCCCATTGTCGCCGACATATTCATGGAAGACTTTGAGGAGAAAGCCCTGCTTACTTCTCCCATAAATCCAAGTTTCTACAAGCGGTACGTAGACGACACTTTCACAATTCTACCTTTAGATAAAGTAACTGCATTTTTAGACCATCTTAACTCTATAAATTCTAAAATTCAGTTCACAATGGAGTTAGAGGCAAACAATTCCTTAGCTTTTCTAGATGTGTTAGTAATTCGGAATCCTGATAACACCTTGAGCCATACTGTGTATAGAAAAAAGACCCATACAGATAGATATTTAAACGGTGATTCTCACCACCATCCTTCACAGTTAGCTACCGTGGGTAAATCTTTGTTTCAGAGAGCACGAGGGATCTGTGACAGTAAACACCTGGCTGCCGAGCTCCAACATGTCAAGCAAGTTTTGCATGACAACAAGCTTCGGGTCCCGCGCCTACGTCACAGAAAACGAGTGAAGGCGGCCACAGTCGAGCGTGTACCTGCTGTACTGCCATATGTTAGAGGAGTGACTGACAAGATTGGCTACATCTTGAAGCGCGCTTCCATCAAAACATACTTCAAGCCGCCGAAGAAGATTGGTCAGTTTTTACCATCAGTCAAGTGTAACGTCCCTCTGCAAGATGCAGGAGTGTACAAGCTTGATTGTGAATGTGGTCTCTCCTACATAGGACAAACTAAAAGATCCATTAAAACCCGCGTCAAAGAACATATAGCTGATGTGAAGAATCGACGCTCCGGGAAGTCTGCAGTCTGTGAACATCAGTCACTACATCAGATTTGATAGACCACAAATCCTCGCTAAAGAACACCGATTCCTTCCAAGGATGATTCGCGAGGCTATTGAAATCAAAAAACATCCTAATTTCAATAGAGAAGATGGCTGGGTACTACCATCTGCTTGGGATCCTATAATAAATAAAATTAAATCCCAACCCAAGCATACAACTGCAAGACTCCATGATACCATAAGTTCATACTGTGTAGATCGGAACAAAAGTTAAATTTTAATCTATGGTAACCGCGGTTAACTATGACAGCTGGACGTTGAACATCGCAGTCCTTCCCGTGACCATGGGTGCTGTAAAGCTCTCGAAACGTCGGGTAATTAAAAAGTTAAATATACA